AAGAAAAGTGAAAGTCTGTCTAAAGTTCTGTCAAGCTAATTCAAAATTAAGTATTTCATGTCAACTCAAAATCATCCCATTTCTCAAAGGAAAACAATACTTGCAATAATAGTAATATGTCAGTAAGGAAGATTTCAGTAGTTTAGAAATCTCATTTACCACTAGAACAGGCTTTTCAATGAAAAATTCCTAAATGGTTGCTAGATACAACTTCTACATGAGGCCATAGCACTGGCTGCATCTATACAATCCACCATTTCATGTGGTTGTGAATGGTTAATAAAATTGCCAGGATGATTTTATTAATCTCTTCAGAGTTAAATGTGAGAAGAAGAATGTAAATGCTGAGAATAATTACTGTACTGCAACTAGTTTAATAGTTTGATCTGACAGGATACAGACTGACAGATAGTCAGCAAATGGCTCTGTATTTGTATTACTAGCCGTTCTTTGAGGAAAATATTAAAGTGGATTTCATATCCTTAGTTATTTTCAGTATAATTCTTGCACAGCTCCATGCAATCCAGGATGATTATTACATTCAATTTTTTAATCTAATTACCAAACCTGGAGTATTTGTAACATTTGGTAATTGATTGGCATGCTTAGACTTGTGAATTTTGTGTTTGAAAAGCTTACAAATAAGCTTTGTAAACCAAACTGTCTGTTCTGGTCTAAAATATTTGCCCATAAAGTATTAGACTTTTTGTTTTACATCAAGCTCTCTAGATAGATATCACTTGAAATATTGTTTTAGGCATATCTTCAACTCCTACAAATCAAGTATCCTCTGAAGGCAGCTGTTACACACTTTTAAATCCCATTAATGTAGGGTTTGTAGTTTGGGATTGAACTGTAGTGATTGCAAAACTGTTAAACCAACAATAATAGATTTTTTAACCAATGGGGATACCAAAATCAAGGGGCTCAGAAAAGGCAGCAGCAACTCTGGGTGTAAAGAGTGTTAGCTCGATAGCCACACAAACTGACTCTTTTTGTGGTGTGCTGTGTTACTGTGATGTGTGGCTCACTAGGAACTTGGAAGGACAGAAGCAGCAGCATGCTGTATTCTAGAGATGCCTGCTAGCATGAATAGGATCTACAATGATTGTCTGATGAGTGTGTGAGACAACTGTGGAAGCTGAAGTGCTGGCCACGCAGTGAGTATAGCAGCTTGCAACTCAACAGCTAATAAGATCGCTTTGTGCTGTTTCTTTCTTGTGGAAATGTTATTGTTTAGTTTATCAAGAAGTTATTATGCTGGTAACTTACTCCAACTTAGAAAAATTATGTTATATTGTACTCTTGAATTTCATTTTTTGTTTGCAGAGCACCGTCCCATTGAAATGGACACAATATCTAGGAAGAATGATAGAGGGAATACATCTCACTGAACTTCTGCTGTGGCATTTACACCACAGCTAGTCACCTAAGGTTTCCTTTACACCAGTGGAGAGGAATAGAATTTTTGTGTATAATCCATTTGTTCCATGTTAGACACATAGTTTGCAAGTCAAATTGTACTCAGCAAATTTGTATTTACTTTCACAGCCTGCGAAAACAGTCTAGACAACTGGCTGAGAAGAATGTCATTTAAAGATACTAGAACAACATTTGGGGTGGGAGCACTTCTGTCATTGAACTTACATCCTTGATTTATTTCCCTTCTGTCTAGGTATTCATTGTATACAATTCCACCAGTGTAGTATTTTAGCTCTTAAAAGCTGAGATTAGTTTATCCAGATAACATCTTTTTCAATAAGTATTATTTCAGAGAAGAGCTGAAACACAGACTGATGGGGAAGTTGGAGATGTCTATATCTCAGATTCAAAGTAAGGGCATGTGCTGAAACTCTTATTCTCCAAATCACCCTCTTGTGCCTTAATCTAGCCTCACATATAAGGCAGAGCCTCACCTGTTTTCCTACAATCCTTGAGATATCACATGATAAATATTATCTCACATTCAGCAGCACAGCGTGGAATTGGCTAGAGAGTCTGTTACAGTTGGTGAGCTCCCTAGGGGCTTTTATTGTCTTCAGTATATGAGGAAGCAACAGAAGCCTGCAGAGCTGTAATATATATATATATAGATATGTACGTAGACTTGGCCTGGTTAATGTGATTAAAGAAACCTTCTGCCATAACATGCCTTCCTGTTTTCTCTGTTGCAAAAGATCCTAAACATATAATAGAGAATTATATGGTTTCCACAGGATATCTGCTCCTGCTATCTAATACTGGACCTGACAAACTTTAAAAATGCGTAGCACATTTCTGAAGCACCTCCAGTCCTTTTTCTTACAGCTTGCTTTGGTTGTTACCACCCAGCGATTGACTCTATGACAACTCACTCCATGCATGCACCCCCTCTGGCCCTGCACAGGGCTCACTGCTTGTAGATTGGCTGTGGCAGCCCTTTTCAACATCTGTCTTACTCTCTTCGCACTTTGGGCAGGAAGCAAGGTGCTAGGCGAAAGAACCTTTGGGCGTGTATGAGGACATGGTGCAGTTGTGCACATGCAGTAGGTCTGGGTCTGTGATGGAAGAGCAACCATACAGTACTCCACATTTGCTAAACATTCCTTGGCTTCTCATAACCAGAACAGGCTTTGTGAAGAGGTGTGTGGAAGGGAGCAGGTAACAACTTTCATCATTCTGCCTTAACATGAGCAGCAAAAGCAACAATGAGGCCTGGGGATTTCCCACTCTTCAGCTACAGATCCCGTGATTCTTTTGAAGAATACATGGGACATTACTTTTCCCATATTTTCCCAGTTTTGGCTGTTCCTGCCACTACTTCTACCCAGACGGTGGAATAAGAATTCAAAAACATGAGGAAAGACTTATCCCACATTTTTCTAATGAGGAACATAGGATTTGAGGATGAAGTACAGGAAATCTCATATTGCATAGGATTTCTGGCACCTTTTGGTAACATTTTTCCAGTCGTAGAAAAATTTTTTATTACAAGCTGAATTATGTGGTTTTTCACTATAGTTTCCATTCAGTTTTGTGTAGCAGGACACAATTTATATATGTTAACCCTGCCTTGACTTGTACCATGTTTAAAAATAAATAAATAAATATGCAAATATTCAACTTCCTTGTGCTCAGAGGATAACTTCTTCTTGTTGTCTTTTTCCTTTCACAGCTTTTGAAGGAAATTATTGGCCCCAATTTTTTCTCCAAAAACAGAAAGAATCTCTGCAAAGAAGTAAGTACCTGACCTGGTATTTAATGTTCATGTTGCAACTATGAGTAACAACTCCATTCAGCATCAATTCCATATTGCAGAAGATACAGTACAAAACATATAATAAAAATAAGTCCTTGCCTCAAGGAGCATATGTTTTAAAGCATTAGTTTTAGAAATTCCTAATGAAGAGTTTGCCTATAAAAAGACAATAAAATATGTTGTCTTTCTCTGATAAGTTTTACACTAATTGGAAAGTGGTTTATTGTACCATGCTGAGGTTTTGATGCCTAAGGATAGAAACTGAGAGCAGTTTAGTAACCTTCCACATTTAGAAATTTGCTACTGAGGTAATTTGTGTGATCTGTTTGATCTTCATTCCTGCAGACTACTGCCTAATATTATCTAAGAATTTAGGAAATGGATTCTTTTAATGCTGCAAAATCAAGGAAATGAAGTAAAGCTGATTCTCCATAGAGGCTAGGTCTATGAGATTATTTTAAAGGCTGCAGGTTAAAACAAATTTATGTGCAAGTGAAAGATCGGAACATGGAATAGTTCTTCCTCACCTTTATAGCCAGCAGCCAGTGGGGAGTCAGGGTATGGACAGATCTCAGCTTCAACATCCAGCTGTGCCAGCTGAAGCTATTGTTGCCACAGTTCTGGTAGTTTCTCAGTTTTCCCTTAACTCCTAAAAATGGCTTGTGTGCATGCACCCAAATCTGTAAGCAAACTTAACTCCAGCCACCTACTTACTGCAAATTTGTGCTAGTCCTTCTGAGTCGAAGAAATACAAAAGATAGTAAGATAACACTATCTTACTTGCATAAAAATGTGTGCCATGCCAAAGCACAAAATAATTAGCATACTATAGCTTTAAAGTACTACAAATATTAGCTATCAGAAGTACTGTTAGAAAGGATATTGTTAAAATGTTAACTCTTAAAATGGTAGCTTTTGACAGCAGTGATTGTGGTATTTTCTGTTACAAAGAAAGTTTCATTTCAGTTCAAAAGGAGGCTAAACAAGTACTTGGAAGCCAGAGCACAAGGTGGGTAAGCGGACAAATCCCAACAGCCTCAAAAAATCCCCTGCATTGAAAATAATTGGAGACTGAGAGAGTATCTGGGGAAGTATAAGTGCTTGACCTGATGATACTCTTCCCTTGGGCAGTCTTTTAACGATCACTGTTGGAAATAAAATACCGAGCTACATCAATCCTTGGTCAGAACCAATACACCTTTTCACATGTTCTTTTCTGAAGAAATGTGAGGCACTGACTTTTGAATTTAAATGTCATTCATTATACATTTAGTTTTCCACATCTATGCTAAGAATGAATAAATGTTTAGCATATATCATGCTAACCTGATATCCTGTATTTTACAGGACATGCTGTTCCTCTGCTAAGACAGGATACAGAAGGCTATAACCCTTCTGAAAACACACAATTTTCACTAGATCCCTTCTAAAATAAATACGGGTATCAGTCCTAGTGTTCTGAACAATTTTTCTGTCATATTGTATTTAAATTGTATTCTTTCTAGTAATCCATAATCTTAATGTTTTACATTAAAATACTGTGCTTTACTGTTACATGCTGTTAAAAAGCAACTTTGTGTACTCCAAAGTTGCTGCATTACAGTGGTTGACAATGAAATTCTTAATCTAGTTTGGGGAAAATCCAGAGGTGTAGAACAAAAAGAATGATATAAAATGCATATTTATTATGACGAGAAGCATTTCTTTAGGCAGAAGCAGCAGAGAGTGGCTTGAATTAGGTGAATTCTCATTCAGCATAAGCATGGAAAAGCTACATGAAGTTCATCCTAAAGGTAAAAATAGTTGAGTGCTTGTGATCAGCCAAAAAATAAATATTCAGCAACTCATCTCTGTCTTCTGTTTGCTCTTACAACAATAGGAACAGTAGGACATGGATATACACAAATTAAAAGAAAATCCCTAGATATCACTTAATAAAAACTGAACTCAAAAGACAAATATATAATGTAGTTTTAAACTTTCCTGAGTTATTGACATTCCTATTTCTTATTTTTCTCTGATAAGATTTAAATAAAAACAAATACACTAAAGGCACTCCTATATTTATAGAAAGGGGCACCTATTGCACTCTGACCGTTGTGCAACCCCAGGTAAGCATTTCTTGGCACACTCTAAAAAAGCTGAGGTTTGCTGGTCAGTATCACTTAAGCGCAATATATTAAACTAGCTGGAATCAGGCTTGAAGGATCAATGACAACAATTAGCCAATTCCTGTTTTCCAGTCAGACGTTCTGGACAGCACAGAAGTACGGAAGAGGAGTACTTTTTGCCAACAGCTAACAGCTTATTGGGAAACAGTATTTTCTACATGACTTGAATAAAAACAGTAGCATTCTCTAGTCACTTGATCACTCTTTAAGAGTAAAAAAAATGTTTTGGCTTTAAAGCAGTGAATATAAATTGCAGGTAGACTTTGCTAAACTTACCTGATACTTTGTGCTTATAAGGTATATTCTAAGATACCTGAGCTTCATATAGCAAAAATAAATAAAAAATTAAAAGTAACAATCTGGGGCTGGAAATATATAACCAAGGACATGATTTTACTTACTTCAGTAGTTCTATCAACTTCAGAGGGACTGTTCAAATGCTTTAAGTAGGTATAGAAATATCTAACATCAAACGCTGGAGTTGTATCTCTTTTAATATGATTCATTTCATCCTCCTAAAATCTGTCCATTCAGATGAAAAGTGATTACTGTTTAAAAATGAAAACTAATTAAAGCATTCTATATATTTACAAAGCTGGCTGGAACTTTGTCACACAAACACAGAGCCAAAAAAAGTGGGGACTTACTTACAAGTTGAGCTTTGAAGACTGTCTTTGGATATCTAATGATCTGACTGTGCAATGAATCATGATACAGTAATGACATAGACAGTTTTGTAAATGTTGTGCCCAAGATGTTAAAGGTCTCTCCAGTAGCAAGCTGTCACCTTTGCAAGCAGATTGAGCAGACTGAAATAAGAAGGTAAACCTTTATATTACCCACAAAGGACATGGAAGGTTTTTTCCCAAGCTAGGAAGTTAAGGAGCTCTCCTCTGCTTACAGTAAATAGGAATATTGCTTTAACTCCAACTACTTTTTCACTTCCTGACATGAGATAAAATTTTGAGTTTACAAAAATACAAATGGCTAGGATGTTGTTTACATAACTAATCTGAGTAGAAACTTACTAGCTTTTCCTGCTATTTATATGTGAAATGGCAAGCTGAATGAGCAAATATGCTGTTGGGAGACCTAAATCCATTTTTCTCTTTCACTTTTATAGTTTTGAGCAAGGATTCCTGTTCTACCTGGGGCGGAGGGCATTTTTCAACCTTTGATAAATACCAGTATGACTTCACTGGGACCTGCAACTATATCTTTGCAACTGTTTGTGATGAAACCAGCCCAGACTTCAACATTCAGTTCCGCCGTGGCCTGGACAAAAAAATTGCGAGGATCATTATTGAGCTGGGACCTTCTGTTGTCATTGTTGAGAAAGGCAGCATTTCTGTCAGGAGTGTTGGGTAAGATTCTGCGATGAATGGGATAAAAGTGTTTAAAGGAAGCAAGGAGTTGCACTAATACAGCAGTTGCACTAATACAGCAGTTGCACTAAAGAAGACTACTTTGTATCAAAAATGAATTAACAAATTACAGAAGTTAGCACACCTAACTGGACTCTACTCATTTCTTCCTATCAAACATTCACACTCTGTAGATAAGTATTTCATTTGCAGTTATTTGAATCAAGCTTAGAGTACATTTGTGTAGGCAAAGGGATAAACTAACCTTCTCAGACCAAAACAGTTCTTACATTGAAACTACAGTCTCCTAGATACTACCGGTCTGCTTATGCTTATCTCTACTACAAGCACAGATGGAACGGCTTATACTCTTTAGTAGATACTAGTTGAAATTCCTGTGTTTTGCTTAGAATTCATTTGATTTGAGACAGATAACTCTGAACCCCCTGTGCTAAAAAGATAACAGATATATAGGGTACAAGAGAAACTTTGAACAAGAGAAACTTTGAACTCTACAACCAACAGAGAAATATTGGAGGGGCTTACAAAGAAGTCCTTGTACATGAGACCACTGGTGGTGCACATTATTCCAAGGATTACTATATCCAGAGAACAGCTGTTTTACTGAGGAATTACACTGATGGGAACCTTTGGGTTCTTCATCATTCTTCTAGACAAATTGCTCCCATACAAGGAAATTTCTCCAGGGAAGTTTTCAGCATTTTCATCAGATAGGCAGTGTTGAATTTTTGTGTGTGAGTACATGCGGATACAGGAAATAATTGACTGTGGATTGTCTGTATCTTATTATATTTACTTGGGTACAATAACCATCACGACAAAAAGACAACTTGCAGCTATATCTTAATTTAGTAAACTGTATTTAGAAAAGACTTCTTTTATTAGTTTATGTTCCAGAAAAATTATGTAAATCTATGGGTCTAACCCAATGATCCGCATTTTAAATTTTTGTCCTACATTCACAAGAACCAAATGCCATGACTGACCTGGTCTAGCGTTGGACATAGCCCTGCTTCAGGTGAAAGGCTGGCCTGGGCAACTTCAGAAGGTCCCTTCCAACCAACTTTTCCATGATTGTCACATACTTACTGAGTACTTAGCAAAATATATTTGTTCTTTAATGTTGTTGTTAGTCTGTAGCACTAGAATTCATCTGTAAGGATGGAAACCTAATTCTGCTACAACAGTCCCATCATGGCTTTCTCTAACCTTGTCAGTTTTCAGTCCTAGCAATACTTCCTATATTAACAGGCTGTCGTCCATAGAAGCTCTTCAGGATAATCAACAATAGTTCTGCCACACAAACTGTATTGTTACAAATTCTTGAAACATATAACTATACCCTAACAAAACCAAACCAAGTGAAGATGCTAAGTCCTGTGCAATCATTTTCACTAGTATAATCAGGATGCAACCATCTCCTGGTGATTCTTCCATGAAACTGCTGACATTGATTTTCAATCAATCAACAGAAATTTTAATGTATCTCGAAATGTTACAGTTACAAAGGAAAAAATTCTATTTCATGTTGCTGCAAGAACTCAGATTGTATGTTTATTATATCTAAAAAAGATAACTAATACCTGCATAATATTGGTATGAGAAGGTCAATGTCTCTTGTCACCTTATTACAGTGTCATTAAGTTGCCTTACACTAGCAATGGAATTCAAATAGCACCTTATGGACGCAACATCCGTCTGGTGGCTAAGCTGATGGAGATGGAGCTAGTTGTCATGTGGAACAATGATGACTATCTCATGGTTAGTAGAATGTTCTCATAAAGCAGAAGAGAAAATTCTCCCTGACTTACTGGAATGACAAGATCTCTTTAGACTTAATGGGTGCTTTTTGCATGTGTTTACTATTTGGATATTTATTTTTTTCCTGCTTCATCCATTCCTCTTGAAATAAACTTTGCTTTTTATACCTGCATGTTCCTTTCACTTCCAACATTGGTAGTTAACTAAAGCCACCACTGTTGAGATTTGTGGACGCTTTCACAGATTTTAAACTTTCCTCAGGCTATTCCAGCAGCTACAATGTTTTGCTAAAGGGATGTTGAAGTTGTTTGAAATTGTTTAAAGTTGTGTGGAATTTAATAGTGTATGCCATAGTTTTGTCATTTCTGCTGTGCTTGGACATCTTTTGGTTTCAAACATACAGTGCTCCTACCAGCTCCTTTGTTTCTTTCCTTTTTCTGAATCTTTTCATCTTTTCCCTCCAAAATCCTTGATATATTTTAGGGAACAGGATACATTTTCTCACCATGACCTGTGATATTAATGCCACAAAATACACCAAATTCTGAATTGGTAAGTTTGCTAAAACAGGGAGATTGTTATGTAATAAATTGTCTGGGAGATTTACCAGCATTACTATCACGCATATAACAGGAAATGCTACTGTGATAGGTACACGCTGTATTCTGTGTAGAGTCAAATTATTTCCTCTGATCTAAGGTTTTCATAATAATTCATCAATTGTAGCCAGTAGTAATATTACCACTTTACTCTCCAGAGCAATAGATAATTGAATAACCTTCTTAAGAGAACAAATCTGAAATTCGTGCTTCGCCAACAAAGATATGAGCAAGGAAACAGCATCATTTCCTTTTCTATTTTTTTCTGGCTGCTTAGAATATTATCCCCCCTCAATTCTCTGCAAATGTCTTAGAATCTTATTCTTTTATTAAATAAAAAAATTACAACAATCACTATTTGCCTATTGGGAAAAGAAGTTACTGCTTCCAAAACTTTTCTTCCAATCAAGTCACTGAAATTAATGAGAAGGATCACCTTTAATTAGATCCTTGAACTGAATTTGTTCGAGAAAGGTAATGCTGTATAGATGATTTTACTTGGGGTGATCCTTTTAAATGTTTTGGTTTATTTTATTTTAGGTTTTGACTGAAAAAAAATATATGGGGAAAACCTGTGGAATGTGTGGAAATTATGATGGTTATGAATTGAATGAATTTGTGAGTGAAGGTAAGATCTAAGGACAGGCCAGATGGAAGGAGAACTGGTTAAACTGAGTCAACGTGGAAATTTAGTACTGTACTAACATTGCTCTGACTGCTCACTCAGTTTCAGAATTAAGTAAAGCACTTTCAGAGGTCACCAGCATACCTATCGTATGATTATGCTACACGCTATTATTTGCTATGATGATAATATTGTGGGTTCCTCAGACAAATTATAAGGACTCTCTTATATTTTAGAAAGAGGTGGCAAGGATCACTCTCTCACTTAACTTTCAGAACAGTCCAGGTTCATAACAAGGCACAGTGTGGGAAATGATTACATTAGGTAGAAGCAAGAATGAGGCTATAATTAAAAGAACATAGTGGACAAGAATATTAACATGTAGTGCGTCCCAATAAGGGTGGATCTTTAGAACAAAATAGTTGGTGCTGAGGACTCAACATCTGTGCTATATGTGGTTTAGGGTGTTCACTTCTAGAGTCACTGTAATCTGGTCTATTGAACTGCCCATTAGCAGTTGGAGCTCATTACACATGCTCTTAGAGCACATCTTCTGGCTTGGTTTCATCTTAAAGGAACTCTGTATGCCAAAACCACTCCACAATGGAAATCAAATAGTAGGGAATGGGGATGTTTGGAAGATTTGCTCTAAAAACACACTGCTAATCTGAACTACAGTGCTAGTGTGGAGACATTAAATTGCACAGTAAACTAATGTCAGATCAACACAGCCAGATACAGTTTTCTGTACACATGACAGAAAAGATTTCTAAAAAGTATACAATATTTTTTGGGTTGTGATGAGTTTAACCCCATGTGTAGGGGAAAATATAAGAATGGGGGATGAGGAGAAGAGGCGTGAATTACCAGTTGGCAAAAGATAACACGGCTGGCAGAAAAACAATAGCAGCTGGTATCATGTAAGATAGTAGATGTGGTAGATTAGGAAATAGCTCAGAGAAATGGTCAAGGTGGTAAAAGTATACGTTACTGAATAAACTCCAGGTAAAGGCCAAAAGAGGTAGTTGTTATCATCAGGAGGAGTAATTAGTAGGACCTTGCACAGTCAAAGAGAAGGATCTGAGTTTTGCTACATCACAGCAACAATTAAACAAATCCATGTGGGCTTTTTCCTGACAAATTATAACCCTTCATTTTACAGGTAAATTGCTGGATACGTATAAATTTGCTGCATTACAAAAAATGGATGATCCATCAGAGATCTGCCTGTCTGAGGAGATATCAGTTACCACCATTCCTCACAAAAAATACGTAAGAAAGATCTTCTTGGCTTTTCTGCAGCATGATTCTTAACAGAGGTGGAAAGATAGATAGAAACCAACAAGAGAGAGGCAGTGGTTTCATAAAACCAACTTCCATGAAAATGGATAAAGTCAAAATTTGCATAGCATGATATGAGAAAGAAAAGGAGTTCTTTGCATTAAAATGCATTTTAAAAAAGGCCCATGGGCATTTTTGAGTCTGGACCTATATTGCTCATATAAACCCAGCATTTAGCTTACAGCTTCCTGAAATTTCATGCAGGTCATCGCAGGAAATTCATGGAAACGAGTGAAGCTTTAAAGAACTTTTTATTCAATAACTAGAGATCTGACATTATAAGCTGTGCAGACTTGAAGACATTCAATGATGCTTTAAACATATTGCCAGATAACAGTGGTCATAACAGGGCCAACAACTATCAACTGCTATCACTTCCAGTCCTAGATGACAAGAAAAGCAGTGTACGTGAAACATGATGCATCCATGTAACCACGGTCGAAAGAGGAAGCTTGGTAGCAGCAAAGAACAGAAGGTCTTCTATTAGATTTTGCAGCTACAGGAATCGAATCCTACTTAGGTTGATCCTGTTAAGTTTTTTCACCAGGGAAACTCAAATTTTGCATTCCCACACAGGTTTTACAGAATCACAGAATGGTTTAGCTTAGAAGGGATCTCTTCAGATCATGTAGACCAACCCTCTGCTCAAGCAGGGTCAGCTAGAGCAGGTTGTCCAGGACAATGTCCTAGTAGGTTTTGAGTATCTCCTGGGCAGATCTTCGAGGCTGAGGAGATGGAAACTCCATAATTTCTCTCAGCAACCTGCTCTTTTTTCTACCTAGGAGGTCATAAAGTCACCATATACCTAATGGCAAGCACTCATTGCTATCGTCTAAAAAGCATCTCACTTTACATAGAATGATCATGCTCTTTGGTTCTGTTTGTACTGCCTCACAAGAATATGATCTTACTTCGCAATTCTCATGTACTTATTTGTACACAGTATATGCATTACTAGTAATTACAGAATGTTTAAAAAGTTTTTTCTTGAAATAGGCAATTTTTCTTCTTCTTTCCTTAATAGTTTCATCTTATTTTTCTAGCAACCCAAGGATCTCTTAGTTTGAACATAGAAAACATTCTTCTTGCTATAAAGTTTAACTTTGATACTACAGAAGAAGAGCCAGCTGGAATTCTTCTCAGATTCTCCTTTTCCCAGAACAGAAAAAAAGGGAAACATTAGTTTTGTATCATCTCTTTAACAAGAAGAGCAGGAATAAAAACCAGGAGTTTCTGTGGGTCCTGTGATGAACATATTTTTCTGAAGAAGAGGATTGTAAATGTTACTTGTATTCACACTGGAAAATTAGTTTGGTCTTGACTGGGGGAGAGTGGCTGGAGAGCTGCCCAGTGGAAAAGGACCTGGGAGTGCTGCTTGACAGCCAGCTGAACATGAGCCAGCAGTTTGCTCAGGTGGCCAAGAAGGCCAATGGCATCCTGGCCTGTATCAGAAATAGTACAGCCAGCAGGACCAGGGAGGTGATAGTGTCCCTATAGTCAGCACTGGTGAGGCCGCATCTTGAATACTGTGTTCAGTTTTGGGCCCCTCACTACAAGAAAGACATTGAAGTGCTGGAGCGTGTCCAGAGAAGGGCAACGAAGCTGGTGAAGGGTCTGGAGAACAAGTCTTATAAGGAGCGGCTGCGGGAACTGGGGTTGTTTAGTCTGGAGAAGAGGAGGCTGAGGGGAGACCTTGTTGCTCTCTACAACTACCTGAAAGAAGGTTGTAGTGAGGTGGGGGTCGGTCTCTTCTCCCAGGTAACAAGTGATAGGACAAGAGGAAATGGCCTCAAGTTGCACCAGGGGAAGTTTAGATTAGATATTGGGAAAAATTTCTTCACAGAGAGTGGTTAGGCATTGGAACAGACTGCCCAGGGAAGTGGTGCAATCACAGTCCCTGGAAGCGTTCAAAAAAACATGCGGATGTGGTGCTTAGGGTTATCGTTTAGAGGTGGACCTGGCAGTTAGGTTAACGGTTGTACTCGATGATCTCAGAGGTCCTTTCCAACCTTAATGATTCTACGATTCTATGATCTGGTGGAGAACTTCTGTTGGCTGGGAGGTTTAACCTTTTTACATTGTTTCTCTTTGAGACCTTATACTGCAGTAGGCAACATGATAGACAATACAAACATATCAAATATTTGCTCAAAAGGGAATGAATGTTGCTATCTTCATATGGGGGATGTTTGTCCTGGAACTGAATCTCCATGAGACAACATACTCCCTGCCTGTAATCTTCTCAGCCATTTTTAGGGGGATTGATGGTACTGAAAGAATGACTTAATTTTCAACTTAATGAGAAGTGGAGCTAATTCAACATATCAAGATCCTTCTATTATACAATGCATTTGTATTCCTTTCTATTTATGAATTTCTCATGCATCTTAAGTAAAATACATATCACTAAACTGTAGGGCAAAAAAAGCAAACAAACCAGTAAGAAAATTATAACTCGCAGTGGTATTCTATTGTGGTTTTCACATGGGGGAAACACTACTAGGAACAATTTTCTTTCTCTTTTTATTTAGGCCATGATCTGCTCTCAGCTACTTAACTCAGTGTCACCAACCTGCAGCGTGCCAAAGGATGGGTTTGTCATTCGTTGCCAGCTTGATATGCAGGACTGCAGTGAGCCAGGACAAAACAACTGCACTTGCTCTACACTGTCAGAGTATTCAAGGCAATGTGCTATGTCCCATCAAATGGTGTTCAACTGGAGAACTGAAAACTTCTGCTGTAAGTTCAAAAGTTTTATTCATAGGAGATTGTACTTAACCTTGCTATATCTTACATAGAGGAAGAATGATGATTAACTGGAATTTAAATCAATTGATAGTAGAGTCTCTACTGTCTTGAATCAAACAAATTGTTTTCTTAAGACAACAGCAGTGGTCTTTGGTAAAGCATTAAGAAGGAGAACACAGAAACCTCAAAGGAGAAAGAGGAAGCATGAAACGTAGCTCCTACCTCTAGAACAGTGACCATAAGAGAGAAAAATATCCACCACGTGAAAACTGTTGAATTTCTCATACTTCCAACAGGAGGCTGTTCTCTCTTAGTACATTTTTTCATTGTTGTACTTAGCAAATTAGCCAGTGAAGAGAGAGAACTTTTAAATGGCTTCTGAAGTCTTTAAACCTTTTTGCTTACAATTGCCATAGCCCCTTTTATTCACAGGAGATTTTCAGCAGTTCATTTTCAGATGCTCAACCTTCTTAATTGCAACTACTGATTGGAAGTAAAGAGGAAGCAAATCTTCCATTACTCTCCAAGCTGTACATGATTAGACACACTTTTTTTCAAGTGTCTGTTTGTTATCAAAGTTCTGATTCACTTTTTGCGGTCTTTTTGAATCCACCTGAAACTTCAATCTATAGTCAGTGTTATGTAGCAGGATTCACTGTTTTATAAGAGAACATGCTGATCATAAAAAAAGTCAGAAGTAACTTAAATTTATGTTGTTATTTCTAAACCAACTTGCACATTAAATTACCAGAGATGCAGCTCATGTCAAAAAAGAGGAGCTTTCAAAATGGCCTTGCTTAATATGATATTGTCCTTCAGAAGCATATAATTTAATCATATTTTTATTTATCCTTTATATGAATATATGGTCATGGGTAGCAAATTCATAAAATAAATTGCTTTGACAGGAATATATTTCTCTTTATCCCTTGATTCTTATTCTGTTTCAAAAGTCTTTAAGATTGGCTACCATTTAGATTTTAGTATAGCAATAGTGAAATCGCAGTTGAATTATATTCCTGAAGTCATTGTTTAACTTGCCATAGTCTATCATCTCACCATTGTTACTTACGAGACCTTGTATCATTTTGCCTTCCCTGCATCTCCAGTGCCATATTCTATTCTCTTCTTGGTCTTCATGTATTGGTGCCACTCTTCATTTTTTGTTTTGTATTTAACATTGAGTTTTCTTTCGTTCTTTCCTCATACTTACTGAAAACATTCCATACTAAGCTCCATTACTATCCCCAATGCTTTAAAATTGCACTTCTTTCTAAAATAATTTTTCCCCTGCTCTTCTCCAAGGTTATCGACCTTACATAAATTGGTAACCCATTTTATTCTTTGGTTGGTCTGCAATTGCTTTTAATCCTTCAAAATTGTAGTCTCCTTGTAGCATTTTATAGATTCAGATAAATATTAGTAAGTCACTGTGTGCATTCACAGAACTGTACAATAATTCTTACTAATCACAGTAAAATAATAGCCTCGTTTTCTCCAAGTCACAGCAGTTTTCTTGTTGTCAGTCGACCATTGCTAGGACTGGTAGTAAAGTGATAAAAGGAAAAGGTTGGGGGAAAAAAAAAGGGAATGGGAACCTTGTTTCCCAAAAAAACAAAGCTAAGAATCTAAGAATCTGCAAATAAATGCCAAATATACAAAGGTAATGAACTTTTTAGTTGTCTGTCTTTCTTCATCAGCCTCATCTCTAAGTACCTCTATTTCCCTCCCTCACTTATTTTTACTTTTTCAGATAAGGAAAAATCTCTGCTTGAATTTACCACATAATAAAGCATGTTCTGAGTTCCATATATTAGAATTGCTAGGTAGCTGCATTCTGAAAAGCAGATAACACCTGAGAAGCAGGAACTATACAGAAAATCAAGAGTTATATTCTTTAAATCCTTCAAGTACTACAGAAAATCTGATTTTTGGTAGCTTATTAGGCTGCAATATAGCATATTTCCCATTCTTCAGGCTTCTGAAAGGAGTTTCTAATAAATAAGGCATGAAAAATGAATAAAAGCTAGAGTGAATACGATGGTAATGATGAATACTCAGATGATTAATTGAGTATTGAGGCAGGATAAGAGAACGTTAGTGCCAGAAATCACAAGGTCTTCTCCATGCTAGGTGGTAGATGAGAGATTCTTCTATGTTTACACTTTAAAGATCTTAACACTTTCACTGTTTGTTGCAGCTGTGGGAAAATGTTCTGCTAACCAAATCTATGAGGAATGTGGTTCTCCATGTATTAAAACCTGTTCCAACCCAGAGTACAGCTGTTCCAGTCACTGTACCTATGGCTGCTTTTGTCCTGAAGGTATCATTTCTCTATTCATCATATCCTAAATGACCCATACAGATGTTTTTGGTATATATTGAGTCAAGTGGAATAGACTTCTTAATAATGAATTAGCAGTGCATTTCAGGGCATTGTGCTGCTAGAACTGCCACTTCTCAGGTAACATAATATAACTGGAGTCTTGAATAGTCATGGTCCTTAAAGATTCTTGGTCACTGTTTGCAAGAACAGAGTTGTGAAAGCGTTTTCCCCACAAGACTGTGATACGTGATGGGATAATTAAATGTTACCTGCTTAAAGTTCTGTACTATAATAAACACTGAGTAAGCTTAATTAATTTCCTGTCCCAGGTATCTAGCCTTCCAGGGCACCAGCAAGAGGTAGCATACCTCAGAGAAGTTCTGCAATATTATGGGCATTTTGTAAAATCCCTTTAAAATAGTTCAAGATGAACTTCCTACAAAAATTGTAATTATGACTATCATTTGCATAATTTCTTGACATTTCAGAACTGAAATATCCTCCAGGGTTACTGTGATGTGAGTATATCAATATCATCACCATTTTATAGTAGTCAAAAGTAACATGTTGTGAGTTACATATTTAAAACTAGACTTAGTACTCTAGGAAATAGAATATGTTCTTTCTTCAAAATTCACAACTCAATCAGAATGTCATAGCAAAAAAAAAGTTTGAAAAATAACATTCAAGCTTACTGTTATTTCAAATTAAGTTCAAATTTCAAATTAAGACAATTGTCTGCACTTTCATATAACAAAGTAGCCAAACTCTGTTATCACTTGTAAAGAGTCAGTTTTAATTAAGAGAAAATGTCCTGCACGTTATATCTCTAACTATGGGCACTGGCTGTGCAAGAATAGCATTCTCAAGCTAATTTTGGAAGGCATTCAAGCTATAATAGCTTTAGTGCTAAGTAAGGATACAGAAAAATATTTTTGTTGTTTATCGTTTTTGGCAGGAACTGTTCTTGATGACATCTCAAAGAATCGAACATGTGTTCACATTCAGCAGTGTCCATGTACACTGAATGGGAAAACATACGCTCCTGGTGAGACAATGAAAGCAGCGTGTAGAACCTGGTGAGTAGCGACAGGTACTTTCATGAGAGGATGGAGAGTATCCTCACCAAGCGATTGGAAAATTTAGCCTAACTTTTCGGAGGGCAGCTGCAAATCATCATGGTGGCCACCTCATCTCTGAGGCTACCTTCGAGTGCCACAAATCATACATTTGTAATTGAAGATGTACATGTCTCATTTCCTGATTAATCTGTGTAAGTGCTCCTTCAGGCCACACAAAACAGTAGCATTTTTATCTCCTCTGTGAAACTGGAGGTAAAATTAGCAGAAAACAAATATCCAGTATTTACAATTTCTTTCTAGCAATCTCAGCATTGCCGATCACCAAATCAGTTCTGAAAACTACATTTCTGGTTTGCAACAGAAAATCATTACTTAAGACAATATTTTTTAAATTTGGAAATTTTTTCCAGAAAAAAAGTGGAATATTTTTTTTGTTGTTACTTCTCTTGCTATCATAATTCTAATAAATAAAGTAAAGGATAAATAATGGCATTAATCCTCAGGACTGTAACAATGAATGCACTTTTCATGATCAATCTATTCAGGAAAGTTTAGTGACAATTCACACAAGAGTTCAGCAACTTTGAATTAAGATGAACAACTTCAACTGACATAGATAGACAAAGAAAATCAAAGCATAGAAAGTATAAGGGGGAAAGTGACACAAATGACATCTTCCATTACTAGGAAGTAGTGGTGTTTTTAAAGCGTAAAGAAAAGATATTTCAAAACAGTGGAAATGAAAGTTCAGAATGTATATGTATGTTACACTGTGTTCACTAACCAATTTTGGATGTTGATCAGCTACAGTAAAACCTCCAGACAGGAGGATCAAATCCTCTTCTGGTAATTAGTGCCTTAGTATGAGAATAACCTTACACAGAATTTCTTGTTTTCCTCAGTAAATGTACGATGGGTCAATGGAATTGCAAAGACTTGCCCTGCCCTGGAAGGTGTTCACTGGAAGGAGGCTCCTTTGTTACCACATTTGATTCTAGATCATACAGGTTCCATGGGGTTTGCACTTATGTTCTTATGAAGGTAATTTCCTGCATTCTAGAAACACAGAATATCAAATGGATATATTTTACTCTGTCTTTGGTTTCCCATTGGAACACAAACTGAGGTCTTCCTATGATACACATTTATTCTACAAATCATTGTTATTCTGTCACAGACTTCCTTTTTCACTATTTTCCTCCAGAGTTCCAGCCTGCCACACAATGGAACCCTAATGGCTGTATATGAAAAGTCCGGTTATTCTCATTCTGAGACGTCACTTAGTGCTGTAATTTACATATCTACAAAGGTAAGTATTGCCTCCTCAGGTTCTATCCAGCATTTCAGTAACCAGGTTAACAAAATAAATACTTAAAGTTATTTCTAGTAGCCTGAACTGAAAAATTATGGGGAATAGATACTAAAGATATGTTCCAGTTCATGCGTACACAGTAAAGATCTCAGTTGCCACATCAACTAAGAAAGTTAGAGTATTTTCAAAGTGAAAACTGAAAGCACTATGGAATAACATGTGAGAAAAAGCTTGAATCAATCTTTTCCTATTAGATAGGTCATTGACAATACAGTTGCTTATGTTAAAGAACATATGAATATCATCAGTACAGATAATTATTTCTGATTCCACGTCCCTTTCTTACAGGACAAAATTGTGATTTCCCAGAATGAACTCCTTACTGATGATGATGAACTCAAGCGGCTACCTTACAGATCAGGTAAAGAAAAGGGAATACACATAAAATCCAAATTACGTTAATTAATCTGTTTTACACAACCCAGCATCTTTTCTCTCACAATTGCCAATAGCAGGGGTTTTAGAGGAAGGTTAAAATCTTTCCCATTGCATCTGTCTCTCTGTGGAGAGTTGTGTGTGGAAGGAGAAGACTTGTAGACAGAATGCTAGGACACTTACATATGCATTAAAATCATTACTTTGCAATATCCTATGCATCAAAATCTCTACTTCTAAATACCCTTGTTCTTTTAGGAGACATCACTATTTTCAGACAGTCCTCGATGTACATTCAAATGTATACAACCTTCGGGCTGGAACTTGTAGTTCAAACATCACCTGTGTTCCAGGCCTATGTGAAAGTTGGATCACAATTCAAAGGCAGAACCCTAGGTAAGAAATCTAGTCCCCATGTGAAGGAAAAAACATAGAGAGTGTAATTTTGAAAGCTTAGTACTCATCCTTGAAGGAATAAACTTTCTTCTCTGGATTCAAACAAAAATACCTACATTGGAAAACCAATGTGCTAAGGATTTTTTTTCGCTAATAACTTTAAAAAGAATCAAAGAAATTAGATGGGTGACATTTTTCATCTGTAATATAATACTGTTCTTCACGTGTTTTATGATGTGTGCCTTTTTCAGTATGTGCTTTACTACACAATGAAGGGGCAACAAATCGGTCTGTGTGGTCTCTACATCTTGGAGCACCTGGTTCTTTGAATGCAGTGCATGATCACTGTAAACACAATAAGCCTAAGAATCTAAAAGCTTCTCAGTAGATAAGCACCAGATGGAGGTGTTTATGTTTATTGCACAGCAACATTAGCCACAAAGGCATATCCTGCATTCTAATTATCTATAGGGAATTACAGAGAGGCTTCAGCTTTTAAAGAAGTCTAAATGTATATTCTTTGTCATTACAGATTTTATATACATAAGAAAACACATGTAACTGCAAAAGTATTTCATGGCCTTTCTCTTTTACATGATTTAAAACCACTGAAAAAGCCTTTTTTCTAAAAACAAGACAAAAACTTCTGTATGAATTTGTCATTGAATAGAAGTGGACAATCTTAACTTAAGAAGGCAGAGGCTTAGTGACTGTGTTCATAATCAAGATTCTCTGGCTACTTGACCTATAGCATTCATTGACACTCCATGCAGAACTTTTGAATCAATTTTCTCACTATTTTAGAATGAAACATAGACCATTGTGTACAGAGTCTTTAATTTTCAGCCATCCGTTGATTTCTGATGTTGTTAGGTTTGTGTGGGAATTACAATGGAGACACTACAGATGACTTCATGACTAGCATGGATATCACTGAAGGGACAGCCTCCCTGTTTGTAGATTCCTGGAGGGCAGGAAATTGCCATCCTGCTTTAGAGAGAGATACTGACCCTTGTGCTTTGAGTCAACTGAACAGTAAGTAGATGATCCTGTTGTAACTGATCTCCAGCTGGCTTTGTCTGACACTTCCATAAGCCTATACCAGGGTAATGAGAGAATTTGAGAGAACCAGAGACTGAGACAATTGAACATCACAAATTCTGTAACCAACAAGACGTTTCTGATTTCTAGAATACATATCTAGTGAAAGCTTATCAGAGCCCATTCTAGAGATCTGAGATTGAGATGATCAATGAGAGGTTTTGGGTGATATTTCCAGTGAATTGAAGTCCATGGATGTCTCAGACTTGTTCAGCTGTGCTGTGACTGAAATCCAGGCTTTGCCTTCTCAAGTCTCTATTGCTGTTGGTCTTAAAAAAAAACCAAAACAAACAAAAAAAACCAAGCCCTACTGAGCCGTTTGAACAAAAGTATAGTCTGCAAGCTAACACGCTAAGCTGTCCTTTTGTTCAATCCATCCTTAGCGAAAGCTCAGCTAGAGCAGTGTGTCCAGGGGTTTCTTCATTTCTTTTTCATCTTGTCATTTCTTTTTCCTAACTTTCTCTGTTTAATGTCCATGATTTACTTTCATTAGAAATATCTGCTGAGACTCATTGCTCCATTCTTACCAAGAAGGGTACAGTGTTCGAGAAATGCCATGCTGTGGTGAACCCTATTCCTTTCTACAAGGTAGGAAATGATGATAGACGGTGTACAGAGGGAGTCCAAATATGAACCAGAATGTACTCATATACAGTATCCCACTCATTTGGATCAGCAATGCATAGAAGCTAAGGAACAAGTGTGTTTTTGAAAATTATGTCTCCACCACACTAGAAGTCTGTTCATAGGCACCAGTCCCATCCCTATGAATCAGAAGGTATTTTTACTCATGCTGCAGTTCTCCATGTTGACAACTTTAATTATGCAAAGTATTGATTTTCCCATGTGCATAACTGAGCTCAATTTGCCAGTCTCCACAAAACATTTTGAAAATTAAAAATTAAAATCAGCGAATAAATAAAGGCATTTTTTAGGTACTAAGTATATTTTATTCATGTCAATCAGGCAATTAATTTGATCTTTTTCATCAGTTTTAGTTATGCAATAATATGTATTTTGCATGACTTACCTCTGCAATTCAGCATAGAATTGTAGAATCATTTAGGTTGGAAAAGACTTTTAAGATCATCGAATCCAACAGTCCTAACACTGTCAAGTCTACCACTAAACCATGTCTCTAAGCACCACATCTACACGTCTTTTAAATACCTCCAGGGTTTAGCACTTCCAAATGTCTGTTCCCCAGTAACAGAGTACTCTCCATGTATTGGGTTTCAGAGATGTGTCTACCAAGCCTGTAATTACGAAGAGACCTTTCCTTATATTTGTTCTGCTCTGGGATCGTATGCACGAACATGCAGTTCAATGGGTTTAATCCTTGAGAACTGGAGAAACAGTATGGACAATTGTAGTAAGTAACTGAACCAACTCTTAATAGTCTGCCACCAGAGGAATGCATGCATACGGGTCTATCTCTTTCCATTTAGAATATTCCCATGTTTGATTCACCTATGACAAAACTGAATAAGAGCAAGAACATATTTTAAAACTACTTGTCAGTCATTAGAAAGTAGCTACTTATTGCTCAAGTAGGCCAACCAGCAGGTATAAAAGCCATATTCCCAGGAGCTGCTGACTTCACAGATGTGTCATAACACAACAAAAAACATAAATGGTAAAGCAGTATTCTAAACAATGTCCAAATCATCTTAAGAGTAATGAGGAAAGTAGTGAACAGAAAGAAGAGAAAAGCAGAAATGGGATAACAGATATCCAACTTCTGAATACCCTTCTAGTCTGTTTCAGAAAAGGATTTTTATTTTAAGACTACATGAAAAAGATTACTCTTATGCTTTAAGGTGAGCATGTGGATGCTTCCAGGACTTGATAATTTAGTGATGGAATAGACACATAAATAAAGCTATACTGTACCATAAGATGAGAAAGAACTAGGAAAAACTCTGGTTGCAGATGTGATTTTGCTATTATGCAGCTTAGGCATAGGCACAGGTTTCACGGTTACTCAGAAATACATTGGTATTTCTGCAAAGCTTCTCTTCGCATTATTTTATTCCAAGATACACAAAGAAGCAATAAGATATTTAACCTTCATAAAACTTCCAAACAGCTATATGGTTGGTGTTAAGCCCTGGTCTGCAATATTTTTTGCTAGAGTGCCACATCCACAGGAAGAGAAGCGATAGGAAGCGTTAAGCATTGAAGCCTTTAACACAATATATGCAGCACATTATGAACATGATTATGTTTCACAAGGAAGAGGACAAGTAAATTAAGTTTAACATACCCTCTTGTCTTGTTTTACAGCCATTACTTGTACTGGCAATCAAACATTCAGCTACAACACTCAGGCATGTGACAGGACATGCTTGTCACTCTCCAACCGAGCCCTGGAATGTCATCCAACTGACATCCCTATTGAAGGCTGCCATTGTCCTAAAGGAATGTACTTGAACCACAAGAATGAGTGTGTTCGTAAATCTCATTGTCCCTGCTATTTAGAAGATAGAAAGTACATCTTGCCTGACCAGTCAATAATAAGTGGTGGGATTACCTGGTAAGTGTATCAAGTTTAAAGATTAACAAACTGAAAATGGAGACGAGGGGTCTTCATTTGTCTCTGTTGAGGGTTAATGGCAGTAAGAAGCTAAGCACCACACAGCCACTTGCTCGCTCCACTTCAGCTGGATGTGGAAGAGAATCAGAAGGGCAAAAGCAAGAAAATTTGTGGGTTGAGATACAGTTTAATAACTTTTTTTTGTTATTAATAAGCAAAAATAAGCTTATTTAATAAGCAAAGCAGCATGTGCAATCAAAGCTAAATAAGGAATTAATTCACTACTTCCAATCAGCAGGCAGATGTTTAGACCTTTCCAGGAAACCATGACTTTGTCATGCATAATGGTTACTTGGGAAGACAAGCAGTATAAATCCGAACATGCCTCCTTCCTACAGGCCTGTCAGCCTGACCTCAGTTCCGGGGAAGGTCATGGAGCAGGTCATCTTGAGTGCCATCGCACAATGGGACAATCAGGGAATCAGGGCCAGCCAGCATGGGTTCATGAAGGGCAGGTCCTGCTTGACTAACCTGATCTCCTTCTATGACAAGGTGACCTGCTTGGTGGATGAGGGAAAGGCTGTGGATGTTGTCTACCTGGACTTTAGTAAAGCCTTTGACACTGTCTTCCACAGCATTCTCCTGGAGAAGCTGGCTGCTCATGGCTTGGATAAGTGCACATTTCACTGGGTAAAAAACTGGCTGAATGGCCGAGCCCAGAGAGTGGTGGTGAATGCAGTCAAATCCAGTTGGCAGCCGGTCACAAGTGGTGTTCCCCAGGGCTCAGTATTGGGGCTGGTCCTGTTCAATATCTTCATTGATGATCTGGATGAGGGGATGAGGTTCAACAAGGCCAAGTGCGGGGTCCTGCACTTGGGTCACAACAACCCCATGCAACGCTACAGGCTTGGGGAAGAGTGGCTGGAAAGCTGCTTGGCGGAAAAGGACCTGGGGGTGTTGGTTGACAGCCAGCTGAACATGAGCCAGCAGTTTGCTCAGGTGGCCAAGAAGGCCAATGGCATCCTGGCCTGTATCAGAAATAGGACAGCCAGCAGGACCAGGGAGGTGATAGTGCCCCTATAGTCAGCACTGGTGAGGCCGCATCTTGAATACTGTGTAGGAGCGGCTGAGGGAACTGGGGTTGTTTAGTCTGGAGAAGAGGAGGCTGAGGGGAGACCTTGTTGCTCTCTACAACTACCTGAAAGAAGGTTGTAGTGAGGTGGGGGTCGGTCTCTTCTCCCAGGTAACAAGTGATAGGACAAGAGGAAATGGCCTCAAGTTGTGCCAGGGGAGATTTAGATTAGATATTGGGATAAATTTCTTCACGGAGAGAGTGGTTAGGCATTGGAACAGACTGCCCAGGGAAGTGGTGCAATCACAGTCCCTGGAAGCGTTCAAAAAAACATGCGGATGTGGTGCTTAGGGTTATCGTTTAGAGGTGGACCTGGCAGTTAGGTTAATGGTTGTACTCGATGATCTCAGAGGTCCTTTCCAACCTTTATGATTCTATGATTCCTCCTTCTTTACCTGAGCTTTTATTGCTGAGCATGATGTTGTATAGTATGGAATACCTCTTTGGTCAGTTCAGGTCAGCTGTCCTTGCTGTTTCCCCTCTCAGCTTCTTGTGCACTCACAGCTTACTCGCTGGCGGGGCAGCATGAGAAGCAGAGATGGCCTTGACACTGTTCAGCAATAGCTAAAACAACATCGTGTTATCAACGCTGTTTTGGTCACAAATCCAAAACAGCACTATTGAGGTACCATTAAGAAAATTAACTCCATTCCAGCCAAAACTAGTACTATCTCCTTCACTCGATAGCAAAGGTTTATTTTTTAAGACATCTTATGAACAAAAAGCATTTGACTTACCTTAAGCTTGGAAATGTTAAGGAAAAAATTAGAAAATAATAGGTAAGATATGATTATTCCTAGTAGGAGATTTTGTCAAGAGTATCTAGACAGCTATATACAAACCTCAAGAATGACTTGATAGGCCATCATAATAGTGAATGGCCTACTATTCACTTTCAAAACTGATGTTACTGTATACTACAAAAAGTAAAGAGAGGCAAGTTGACTCATGTTCCATTTTGAAGGATGGGGAGGAGCTGGTAACATAAATGAAACATTTCCAATGGTGAGAAACATGAAGCCATTTTGCAAAAAATTAAAATATCTTCCTTAAGAGAGAATTGCATTGATTTTTTTTTTTTTCCCCCTAGCTACTGCATTAATGGAAGGCTAAGTTGCACAGGCAAACCTCAAAATCCTGCAGGTATGGGTCTGATATGGTTTATTTAGAAATGTATTCTTTCCCCCTATGTTGTAAAATTGCTACTTCACAATCTCTGCAATGTTTGCTTTTCTTCCTTTTTCCTAGAAAGCTGCAAAGCTCCTAAGAAATATATATCATGTTCTGACCGTTTAGAAAACAAGTATGGAGCTGCATGTGCCCCTACCTGTCAGATGCTGGCTACTGGAATTGAATGTGTGAGTTTCACAGCTCTGGGATACTTATCTCATTGAGAGAGGAAGAATGTTCTAGTTGTTACTTAGCACTTGACTACATTCCTTCTAGTGAAATGACAGGAGATATTTCTTCTAACGTTGTACAGTTAAACATCAGTCTTCCTTCCACAGACTGTGGACACTAAAAATTTACATATATTCAGGAAGTGATTAAAGGAATTAAATTGCATGAATTAATGAATTAAATTCTAGTAAATTACTAGAATAAAAATCCATTAAGGATTCTTAACTATATGGCTATCACCACTGGCTCAGGTACTCCATAAGCTGCATGTCACTGGAAACTGCTAGAACATGTGGTTTATGCTTCCTGGTCTATTCTTTCCCAACTATCTGCTGCTGATGGTCACAGGAGGCAGGAGACCTAGGCTAGGTGAACTTCTGGTCTGTCCTGACAGGCTTTTCTTATGCCTTTATGTTAAGGAAACAGACTAATTGGAAGAGTTGTAATAAACTTCCTTGATATAAAGAAACTTCTGTTGTACTTTGTCTGAAAGATTGGTAGCAATGAAAGACAAATTTTTCAGAGTCTTCAAGTATGTTTAATATCTCACCATAGCAGGAATATCTTACAACTTCAGTGAAACCAGTTCAATTGACTAGTATGTTAGTATGAGGAAAATCACAAAACTGAAATCAAGTCAAAACCAGAACTTAGCACAGGTTCACTCTTGACACCATTCACATACAAGATAAAATGCATCTCACATTTCTTTTCATTTTGCAATCTGTTGGTCTTTACCAGATACCCACTAAATGTGAATCAGGCTGTGTCTGTGCTGATGGGCTATATGAAAATCTTGATGGCAGGTGTGTTCCAGCTGATGAGTGTCCATGTGAATATGGTGGTCTTGCTTACGGAAAAGGTGAACAGATCCAAACTGAATGTGAGATCTGGTAAGAATCACACAGTTTTTCGTTGCAGAACCTCTGTTTCACTAAACTGTACAACTACATAACAAAAGCGTTTAGTTGACGGGAGAATAGGAAATGGCAACAGCTGAATGGAAGGAATACAGTGACAAAGCACAGAGGTGATAAAGAGAAGCTTAGCATTTGATAATATATACGTACAGATAAAAAAGTCATGGTACTGGCTTCAGGGATAATTTCTGCCACATACATATCCAGGAATAAGGGCATCCAGCAGGGCCTGTAACTGTAAACTACATAAGGTCAAGGATTAACAGCTCCACGTAAATAATGATGAGGGCACAATCTTCCTTCTTTTCTGTAGATAAAAGCAAGCCCCCCAAAAGATTGCTCACATCTCTTTAGCAGCATTCTCAAAGTGCTTTATTCCCTTTCCAGTTACCAATCTAGTATTAAAAAACCACCCCCCTCCAAACTACACAGAACAGTGACATCTGATCCCATTAAGAGCAAAAATAAATGAGTTTTATATTCTTTCTTCCATGAAAAAAGAAAGCAAAAATTACTTAAGATTTCTTCTTTATCATTAATTAATTTTCTAGGCAGTCCGTAAGTTTTAGTTATGGTTCTTATATTACTTGTAACTTGGTCACAGTGTACACAAGTCAATTAAATGAACATCTTATCTATAAAAGTGCATGTATATAAAAAGAAGCAGGTTAAGGTGGCATTTCTTTGAAATCTGAGTATGGTTTCTTTTCTCACTCCCAGCACTTGCACAAAAGGCAAATGGAAATGTGTTCAGAAATCAAAGTGTTCTTCAACGTGTAATCTGTATGGAGAAGGCCACATCACCACTTTTGATGGACAGCGTTTTGTGTTTGATGGCAACTGTGAATACATATTAGCTATGGTAACCTGCCTCTTACAGCTTATTTTGGCAGTATCTTACGGTCAAGAAATAGCTTGATTTAAATGGCTAATGAAAATATCCTAGGATGCATCTATAACCAATAGAGCACTTTGAATCTTTATAAACACTTGATGTGTTTTTATATTTTCTGCTTATTTCAATACTTAAGATGAAAAGACTTTACTTCTCAAAACACAGTTTTTTATGCAATTACAACAAATTTTAGATTTAATAACATGTTTAAATAGTCACTGATACGTATGTATTCTGTACCAGCCAACTATATCTTTTAGGGAAGTGATGTCAGTTTGACTACCAAATCAGAGGTCATCACCTCCCAAAACAGGCAGAATCAGTCATGACATGTTTAAGCTTTCTTTACTTTTTTATCCTTTTATGTTTCAAGTTGGAAGACTCCAGACACAGAGTCTATTGGGGTTTTGTGCTTTTTGTTGTTTGGTTTGGTTTTTTTAGGATGGCTGCAGTGTTAATAGACCTGTTTCCTCTTTCAAAATTGTTACTGAGAATGTCATCTGTGGGAAATCAGGGGTTACATGCTCCAGATCCATCAGCATTTACCTTGGGGTAAGATCTTCATTCTGCTGTTATCCAGCTGAATAGCTATTTTAAGCCCATGTTTGCTTCCCTTTTGGAAGCTTTAGCTGTGTCTTTGAAGTGATGTCTTGTAAGTGAAATTATGTGCTAAACCTAGAGCTTCAGTTTTACTAGGAATTGCCATCAGTTTTTTTTTTTCAATTCTCATGTCTATGTTTCAGTCCCCAAACTTCTTGCCTACATACAAGCCATAAAATTTTGAACTTTACTGACCTAGCAGTGAATTGCTCAGTCAAAAGATACTGATATCCTCCCCACCCCATCCACCCCCGCCAAACTCAAGAAAACAATATTATAAAATTGAGGAATTCTCATCATGGATGATGAGAAAAATCTCTCCAAATTTCTCTAAGTCCAGGTAATATCTGCAATTCAAAATATATCCAGATCTTACCTGAGATATATCCATGAAACTATAGCAATGAGCATTTATCCTCATTTCCACTGCTGTGTGACAGCTTCCAGAATTGGATAAGTTTTACTGTTCTCAGTTCTATGGGGCAGCAATGCCTAGTACTATCAGATCAGATCAGTATTACAGTCCTTCATTATCTAACAGAGAGAGGAACAGGGACAGACGAGATTTTATCCCAAGGAACAGTCACTACAAGCAGTACACATTTGCCACGTTACTGACTAAATATTGGCAGTTTCAGCTGGTTAGTGCTGTGGTGAAAAAGTTTGTTAGCTTAGGATCCAGTGTCATAAATGCATGTTCCAGCCAAACCTTTCTGTTGATTATCTAGACATTGAAACACTTCAGTATGGCAGGAGTAAAGTTGTAAAAGTACACATGAGAGTGGGAGACAGTAAAAGAGCTCAAGACAGAGAGCTATTTTCTCCATAACTTTTTGATTATTCTTGGGAACACATGAAAAAATACTTCCTCTACTCTGCTGGCTGCATGTAGAAGACTATTATTTCCACCAAATGCAAAGTGCTAGCGCACCTAACAATGACGGTGGAACAATGACAGATATTTTTGTTTCCAGTGAAGATTTGCATATGCATACAAAATAATTCCAAGGGGGTAAAAAAGCCTGTAAAATAGAATCATCAGAATAGAACAGAATCATAGAATGGTTTGGGTTGGAAGGGACCTTTAAAGGTCATCTAGTCCAACCCCCCTACAATGAGCTGGAACATCTTCAACTAGATCAGGTTGATCAGAGCCCCATCCAGCCTGACCCTGAATTTCCAGGGATATGGGGCATCCACGACCTCTCTGGGCAACCTCTCCCAGTGTTTCACCACCCTCATTGTAAAAAATTCCTTCCTTATATCTAGTCTGAATCTACCCTCTTTTACTTTAAAACCATTACCCCTTGTCCTATCGCTACAGGCCCTACTAAAAAGTCTCTCCCCATCTTTCTTATAAGCAAGCCCCCTTTAAGTATGGAAAGGCTGCAATAAGGTGTCCCCGCAGCCTTCTCTTCTCCAGGCTGAACAACCCCAACTCTCTCAGCCTGTCCTCATAGAAGAGGTGTTCCATCCCTCTGATCATTTTTGTGGCCCTCCTCTGGACCCACTGCAACACGTCCATGTCCTTCCTGTACTGAGGACTCCAGAGCTGGGTGCAGTACTCCAGGTGGGGTCTTGCCAGCGGGGAGCACAGGGACAGAATCACCTCCCTCGGCCTGTTGGCCCACGCTTCTTTTGATGCAGCCCAGGATACAGGTGGCTTTCTGGGCTGCGAGTGGACATTGCTAGCTCATGTCCAGTTTTTCATCCACCAGTACCCCATGTCCTTCTCTGCAGGGCTGCTCGTCAATCCCTTCATCCCCCAGCCTGTCTTGATACCAGGGGTTGCCCCAACCCAGGTGCAAGACCTTCCATTTGGCCTTGTTGAACCTCATGAGGTTCACATGGGTCCACTTCTTGAGCTTGCCCAGGTCTCCCTGAATGGCATCCCATCCCTCAGGCATGTCAACCGCACCACTCAGCTTGGTGTCATCTGCAAACTTGTTGAGGGCATGCTTGATCCCACTGTCCATGTCTTTGATGAAGATATTAAACAGCATTGGCCCCAGTACGGACCCCTGAGGGACACCACTCATCACTGATCTCCATCTGGACATTGAGCCATTGACCACTACCCTCTGGATGCGACTATCTAGCCAATTCCTTATCCACCAAACAGTCCATCCATCAAATCCATATCTCTCCAATTTAGAGAAGGATGTTGTGGGGGACCATGACAAAGGCCTTACAGAAGTCCAGACAGATGACATCCATAGCTCTTCCCTTGTCCACTGATGCAGTCACTCCAGCATAGAAAGGCCGCTAGGTTGGTCAGGCAAGACTCCCCCTTGGTGAAGCCATGCTGGCTGTCTCAAATCACCTCCCTGTCCTCCACGTGCCTTAGCATAGCTTCTAGGAGGATCTGTTCCATGATCTTCCCAGGCACAGAGGTGAGGCTGACAGGTCAGTAGTTCCCAGGGTCCTCCTTTCTACCCTTTTTAAAAATGGGTGCAATGTTTCCCTTTTTCCAGTCACCAGGGACTTCACCTGACTGCCATGACTTTTCAAAAATAAGTGGGAATGTCAAGACATTCTGTAGTAGCACAACATCAGATCTTCAGGAATGTGACACAGAGTAAGGGAAATATTGAAAGTTGATAAGTTATAACATCGAGATAAATTTTCTTCCAGAATTTGACATTCATACTGCGAGATGAAACCTTCGCTATTTCTGGGGAAAATCCTGGAATACGATATAATGTGAAAAAGAATGCCCTTCACCTGATGTTTGATATCATTATCCCAGGAAAATACAACATGACCCTTATCTGGAATAAGCACATGAACTTCTTCATCAGGATCTCCAGAGAAACACAGGTATTGCAGAATAACTTCCTCTAGTAAACTGTCCTTCAATTCAGATTGAACGGCACATTTGATGATGATTGCCTTGACTCTCTATGATAGCAAAGGTTTTTCAGAGATGCTACTAGCAATTCATTTTCATCATTATCTCCAAAACAGCAGAGATTTTCACTAGAGGCTGATTTTTAACTGATTACCTTACTGCATTCAGGAAATTTTTGTGCTAAGTGCTTTTATTTTATACAACTGCATGGTCAAATTTGATCTCTAAATTATGACAGCTTACAGTTTAGAAGAGAAACACATTTGTTCACTGATGAACAGACCCTCATGCACAAGACGCTAAGAATGTATGAGAGAGTATTTGTAGATCACATTCACTACTAAAGCACAGGAAACTGTCAGTAATCGAAAGGGAAGGCGAGTAATTGTAACTTGCTGATTTGACATTGCTGCTTTCATTCAACCTAGGAAACTATATGCGGTTTATGTGGGAACTATAATGGCAATATGAAGGATGATTTTGAAACTCGAAGCAAGTACGTGGCATCAAATGAATTGGAATTTGTCAATTCTTGGAAAGAGAATCCTCTCTGTGGGGATGTATATTTTGTAGTGGACCCCTGTAGCAAGAACCCTTATCGTAAAGCATGGGCAGAAAAGACATGTTCCGTCATCAACAGCCAAGTCTTTTCTGCCTGTCACAATAAGGTAAGAATCGATTTGGCCTTCTTTTTAGTTATAGGGATAATCTGTATTCTTCCAAACACTTGATTTTCTCTTCCCCAAAATGTTTTAATAAAATATATATAAAATGTTTTATGGCTCTCATTTATGTTAATCTTTGTCTTTTCTTATTTGCACTTCACCAGCCCTTTTGTAAGCACAAAAGCTAAGTATGGCATTAACAGATGCGTTAAAAATATCAGAGTGAAAAAAGAATGAACACTTATGTATCAGAAATCAGTCAGTCTGTTGATGATGCCTGATACTGATCAATGCACTGTTTACTCTTTTGAAACCTTTTAGCCTTTGTTAGAAAACCAAACTTAAGAAAAGCCTGAAAACACTTGTTCTCATCAGTAAATCAACAGCATTACTTAGAAGATGCAGATCAACCCGAGAGCAAGATATCATCAACCCTCCTATTTGTTTTCATTTGCTCACTTTGTGGAAATGAAAATATTGTGAGGTTCATCAAAACCAGGCCTTCTGAAGGAAAATCTCCATTTTCAGGAGGGGAAAACAATTGAGAAATGTGGATAATGTTGCAGTGCTCATCCCTATCCATGGAGGGTGTACAGCTGACGAACTTAGGCACTTGTGCCTGAGTGGATGTGGGGGTTTGGGAGTTTTTTTAGCTGACTATACATAATGTGTTCAGAAATAGTATGAATTTAGAAATATATATCTGGTAAAACATCATCAGTTTCTATTGTTGATGTGGAGACATCTACGTTCTTGCTAAAAAGATTTGTATGAGGTGGGATTGTAAGTGCTTTGACAAGTGTTCAGAGGAAATACTAGCTACTCTCACTTAATGGAACACATATTGTTTAGCCCAGCGAAAAGCACCTTCTTAACAAATAGGCACAAAAGAATCCTATAAAATTCATTACTTCATTTTCCAATGCAGGTGAATCGTATGCCCTATTATGAGGCCTGTGTTCGAGACTCTTGTGGTTGTGACATTGGAGGGGACTGTGAATGCATGTGCGATGCCATTGCAGTATATGCCATGGCATGCTTAGATAAAGGTATCTGCATTGACTGGAGGACTCCCGAGTTCTGTCGTAAGTTTCTTTAAGCTCTCTTTAAAGAGGTTTAAGAGATTATTACTGTTACTGTGAGTATATTAATATGGCAACATAGGTAATTGCTTAATAAGCATCTCCTAAGTTGCATTTTCTCTGTGGGCAAGTAGTTGACTTCAGTCACCTGGGTTTTGAAATCTGTAGTTTGAATTTGTGCTAAATTAACCAAAATATTATATTTCTTTTTACCATGGAGTAATGAGAGAGAAAATAATGTCGTCACAGAAGGCAGACTGTTTCTTCTGCTGCCACTGTATAGTGAACTGTCATTTTGTCAGCAGAGGGAGTATGAAATTATAAAAAAAAATGTTTCATTTTAGCTATGATGAAATCACCTTCTGTGTGGATGTGAAGGAAATAAAGACAGCTGTGTTGGCTGGAACACTGTAAAACAGGAAAAAGATATCGAGGTGTTCCAGAACACCGTATATGGACAAAAAAAGAGGATGAGTGTGTTAAAAATCAATGCTAGAGTTGTCATCTTTGATGGTTTCTTTTCAACATTTCACTAAATTATGCATTAAAAATTGTGGAAATGCCTGCATAGTGCATTAGCAAAAAAGAAACTGACCTCACTGGAGTGTAAATTTCAATTTACATCAGAAGCTCATAACTTCAGGACAAAATCTTTGATTCAAACTGTTTATTAATTTTGTCCTCCCTCTAGTCCTTTGAAAATAACATGCCATTAATTTGAAAAATTCTGATTTCTTTCTTGCTTTTACCTTTTTTAGCTGTCTATTGTGAGTATTACAATTCTCATAAAAAACCAGGAAGTGGTGGTGCTTATTCCAATGGCTACGACAATGACAACTGCACCTGGCATTACAGACCTTGTAATTGTCCAAATCAAAACTACAAATATGTCAACATTGAAGGTAATAAGCTATACTAGTGTAAACCAGAAAACAGTAACACAGTAATTATTTTCAATCCTGTTTTTTAAGTAAGTCATACCACAGTTAAATAATGGTATTCTAATTGATGCTATCTTTGAAGCAGTTTTGCTGATCTTTACCTTACTACTACTGCTTTACCTACATAAAAAAATTCAGTACCTGTACTACATCTAGCTTTATATTGCGCTCAGCCTGTCTTGAGGAGAAATTCTCTGACTTGCACCAAATCAAAAGAATACATTATACTTCGGGAAGAAAACATGGAGAGAGCAGTTAATATTCTTATTAGACAAATGGATATAGTTGGAGAAACCAAAACAATTACTACATAGGTGGGCCATTCTGAGGATGACATTGGAAATGCTTACCTGAATAGATGATGTTGCAATTGATACATTTTTTTTAATAACAGAAATGTAAGAGATTATAAGTAGTATAAATTAAATGCTGTTCTCTGAGAAATTTAAAACAACTTCTCTTCCCCTTTCTTCAGGCTGTTACAACTGCTCTCATGATGAATACTTTGACCATGAGAAGGGAAGATGCATGCCATGTGGTAAGCAGTGACCTATATACTCATTCTCTTTCTCTACAGTAACTGGAAAACAATACTAAAACATTTGTATATTCTCAAAGAAGGCATTGTTCCTAGTACCTCTCAATTAATAATGAGTGTTCATCCAAACATAACTTTCCTTCAAAATAACCCTGTTACTCTACTGCTAGTGTGTTAAACTTCAGTTGGTAAACAAAGGAATGAAGACAACTAATTAAAAGAAGGATTAGGCTAGGGAATGCTATAATACAGAAGCTGGATGACCCTAACTGATTTTAGTTAGCAACATGAAAAATTATGTTCATTGTAAATGTGAGTACTTTTCAAAATGTGGGTCTTCCTGAAAGTGTATTGGTGTTCTGATCTGTGTGAGGGGCTGCCCCAGCAGAGCTGTGGGTCTCGGATATATTCAACACCTTTCATAAAAAAAGAGAACATATAGAATAGGATCAGACCTAGCTAATGGACTTTACTTAGCAAATCCCTTTATAGAGATTTTTTTAATAAAATACTTTAACTTCAGGTTTATTACCATATGGTTTACTTCTATGAAAAGCTATCTTATTAAATAATGGTTTGGATAGACTCTAGCTGCACAGTTTGGATTTTCATGCAGATGTAAAAAAACCTCAAGGACAATTTTTCTCATATTACGAAATTCTAACCTGTGTAACCAGGATCTCATCTAGTGATCTCATTTAGATACAAAAATGTTTCCAATATCCCTGAAAAGTGAGGTGCCCTTAAGCATAAAAATCATAAGAAAGGTAGCAAAAACTTACTCATGTTCATTATTATTATGAGATGTATTTCTTTCTTTGTCATTGTTTAAGTCCTTTAATGTGAAGTTTACCTCTGAAATATGTAATATTAAGGATTTTCAGGAATATCTCACTAATTAACACAATCCTTTGAATCCAATTTGAAATTTGCCTTATTTGGAATATTTCAATATGCCTTCATTCACAAACTTAACCTGTTCTACCTTTACACAACAGGAAATGAAAGCATTAGTACCACACCTGAAACATCTTCACCTTCAACAGGTTAGTTTATGTAGTTGACCAAACTAGTACTTATACACTGATATATGTCCTGATATGTGTTTATGAAGTAAGAAAAATACTTTTTTGTGTGATATAGTGGCATCACCAGTTTCATATGCATAAGATGCAATGATGAAAAATAACTTGGTCTCATAGAAAATGATAGAAATATTTGAAATATTTGTTAGACATCTTAAGAAAAAAAAAATATTGAGAGAACAGTGTTTCCTCAGCATACTTAGGCACTTCCAGATATCAGTATTGAAATACCTCTGTTAGTGAATAAGGACTTCTGTCTTGGCTGTGGTGGGCAGTGGGATCAAGCATGCCCTCAACAAGTTTGCAGATGACACCAAGCTGAGTGGTGCGGTTGACATGCCTGAGGGATGGGATGCCATTCAGGGAGACCTGGGCAAGCTCAAGAAGTGGACCCATGTGAACCTCATGAGGTTCAACAAGGCCAAATGGAAGGTCTTGCACCTGGGTTGGGGCAACCCCTGGTATCAAGACAGGCTGGGGGATGAAGGGATTGACGAGCAGCCCTGCAGAGAAGGACATGGGGTACTGGTGGATGAAAAACTGGACATGAGCTAGCAATGTCCACTCGCAGCCCAGAAAGCCACCTGTATCCTGGGCTGCATCAAAAGAAGCGTGGGCCAACAGGCCGAGGGAGGTGATTCTGTCCCTGTGCTCCCCGCTGGCAAGACCCCACCTGGAGTACTGCACCCAGCTCTGGAGTCCTCAGTACAGGAAGGACATGGACGTGTTGCAGTGGGTCCAGAGGAGGGCCACAAAAATGATCAGAGGGATGGAACACCTCTTCTATGAGGACAGGCTGAGAGAGTTGGGGTTGTTCAGCCTGGAGAAGAGAAGGCTGCGGGGACACCTTATTGCAGCCTTTCCATACTTAAAGGGGGCTTGCTTATAAGAAAGATGGGGAGAGACTTTTTAGTAGGGCCTGTAGCGATAGGACAAGGGGTAATGGTTTTAAAGTAAAAGAGGGTAGATTCAGACTAGATATAAGGAAGGAATTTTTTACAATGAGGGTGGTGAAACACTGGGAGAGGTTGCCCAGAGAGGTCGTGGATGCCCCATCCCTGGAAGCATTCAGGGTCAGGCTGGATGGGGCTCTGATCAACCTGATCTAGTTGAAGATGTTCCAGCTCATTGTAGGGGGGTTGGACTAGATGACCTTTAAAGGTCCCTTCCAACCCAAACCATTCTATGATTCTATGATGTACAAAATCCCACAAAAATTTCATCACAATTCTTTGTGGCGACTGGCTGTATAACACCTCAACAATTTAAGATGGTCTTCATGGAAGTGTATGACTGAGTATACCAAACTCCTATAGCCTGATCCAGGAAAGGAATCTATATATACTGATCTTAAATTTGTTAGAATTTCCATCAATTTCCCTGAAGACAGACGGTACTGGGAAAATGTTACACTGTCGACTGCATGAATAATGAAACACAATTCCATTTCTGCTGCTATGCACAAGCATTCATGCCAAATTCACTTTAAAGCGATGAAGAAAAAGGTATAAAAGCTTCTACAAGAATTCCTGTTCAATGTATTCACTGCACATAAAAGCAAAGGAATAGATGGATATCTATTCTCTCAAATGTTTCACCTAAAAGGTAACGGTTTTAAATAGTAGTTACTACTAATAGTAATTAAAACAGTGTTTTTACTTCAAAAAAGAATTTTAAATTCATATAGGTATATTATAAATAGATTATCAATAACTATTTCATATCCATTAATTTTGTTATTTTTTCCTCTTAGTAACATCAGTGCAGCCTAAAGTAACGAGAAGCTCTACCACAAGTACCCCACCAAGAGTACCTAGTATTTCTTCTTCTGCAGCTACTATATCAACTGAGACTACAAATCCAACAATAACCTCAAAAATCACAGTTCCAAGAACTTCATCAGCATCACCTCTTGTCACAATAAAGTCAACAACTGGTAGGTTTTTAGTGTTACTGTTTAAAATACAGTAAACCCACTCTATACATAGCTGAGATATCATCCTACTAGGAAAGCATTGCAAGCTGTCTCAACATCCAAGCATAAGAATCCAAATCATGAATTAGGCAGAGCAGGCTTCCAGAAAGGTGTCTGTAAACCAGAAATGTTCAGAAGTGTAGATCAAAAGTTCATGGAAAGAGAAAGGATATAGACAATAGGTTAAAAATACAACCAAAAATCACTTGTGTGACTCATCTGAGAAGCACATTAGAAGTTCTATAAGTAGTGACCCAGCTCAGCTCCAGTTGGATTTATTAGCTCAGCTTCAACCTCTTTTCCACAACTGGTTCAGTTATGTGGTCATATTCAAGGAGCACCCAACCTATTAACTCTGAATAATGTAAGCAGGCTCCAAAGCAGAATCACACAGGTACCAGTGCAGCAGCTTTGTCTAGGATTCTAGAGTCCTGCTCTCAGGAGGATGACTTCTCCAACATAAATTACTTTCTGATTCTATGGCTTGTGGAGACTCATAATAACGTGTTCCCACCAACATGCACTTCAACTAATAAGCCATCCTGGACCCAGGCTATCAGGGAAAGCAGAGTTAAAAAGAGGTCCCACAGGAGTCAAAACACAACTTCAAAGGCTGCCGTTGTGACAGATTAATTGTCCACTGGGACAAGGAAAGTCCTACAGTATGATGTTATTTAGCTTTGTAATACAAATTGTGGAAAGCTGAAGCTGTGGCTGATTTGGAACATGAGAATAGCCAATGAAATTGTCATTTGGGCAAAGTTCATACACACTTTAGCCAATAAGTGACAACAAAGCTAACTTCTTAGACAAATTACATAAAAAATCTAATACAGGAAAAACACAGAAAATTAGAACAACGAAAGATTTGGGACAACAGAAACAAAATACAAGTAGAAAAAGATTTGGCAAGCTTGTGAGACTCTGAATACAAACAATTAATGAAGAAAATATTCAAAAGATCAAGGGTGAAAACTGGGTCTCTGGAACATGGATAGCTCTTCATAATTTATCTATTTTTAATTATTCTATGAACTGATTACTCACATTATATTATTTACCTTTTCTCCAAAAGAACATACAACATCAATTTTTACCACACCAAACATGACTACAGCCATCACTACCACCTCCATAACTACCTCAACAAAAAGAACCATGACGACTAAACCAAAGCCTACACCTGTTGCCTCATCAACTGCTGCTTCAACAGAGACAGAAAAAGTGAGGTTCACCACACCACCCTTCAAGACCGCTATCACAAAGGAAGTGACAACCACCTCAAAACCTACTCAAACTACATCTCAGGTCACAACTTTCAGCAAGCCTAAACTAACAACAGTAGGTAAATATCACTTTTTGATATCTGCCAGGTGAAGCCATCACTCAAAAGACACATGTCAATGTACTCCTTATTAAAAAAAACAAGCATTCTTACTAGTTGTCTTAAAATTGCAAATAGGTAGGAAAGAACATGGATAACTGAAGTGTGATAAAAATGGAAATCTGTGTCTTCCCAATGGAGCAAGTATCTGACATCCAAATATCATCTTAAACCTAACATTTCTCTTCAAGGTCATACTCTACATTTCCTCCAAAATTAGGCAAAATCTCTCTATGTTTAAAAGTGACTTCTTGAAAACTCACAAATGAGAGAATATGTGTTCTGACTAGCCATTCTAACAAATTCTCCCAAAAATAAATATTAAAAAAAGAAAATTACACTTTGGGATGTCAGGTACACCATATGCCAACAAGGACAGTCTCCTCTGAGGCTGTATGACAACGTGAATTGCTAGGTGAGCAAATGACACCAGAGGCTGGGACAGCGTACGGGATGCTGCTCAACTGTGTCCTAAACATGGCTGAGCTCCTCAAACCCCAGTAAGGCTCCCTCCTACCCTTCCCACTGCTTCTGCCTGCTCTTCCCAGCTCTCACGCTTCCATCCTTCCTTCCTTTCTTCCTTTCTAGCAGCACAGGCTGCTCGGGCATTTGCTTTGGTACTTTTCCTCCATTCCCACTTCCTTTAGCCTCAGCACTTTGCTATGGGCTGCCTTTGGTACGGGCCTGAGCACAGCTCTCTCCCACGGAGCCTGGCTTGCCTGGGAGGAGGCGGACGGCACAGTCTGCCTGTTCCTTGGAGGCAGACACGCACATACAGAAAGACTCCTCTCCCAGGGAGAGGCAGAGGGTGCTTGCTCATTGGGGAGCACCCTTCAGGTGCTGTCCTTGACCCTCCTTTTAAGGAGAGAAGCTGGACGGGAAGGCTGAGAGCAGGAGGCAGAGGCCCAATCCTCCCTCATGACCAGAAAGACTCAGTGCAGCACAGTGCTGCATTTCTTGCACATGCCCACAGCCCGGGGCTACTACCCACCTCGTTTGCATTCCCCTCTTCCCCTCATCCTCTGTCAACCTGTGCTTTCCTCCCAACAGCCTTCACCCAGAAAAGGACAACCGTGCCACACATTGTGCCGCCTCTCACCACGCAGAAGACCACCGCCACCACCTCCGCCAGCAGCACCTCCAAGACCTCTGTCTCCAGAGAGGCCAGCCCCGCTAGCAGCACAGAAGTCCCTCTGATAAAGACGTCTCCAAGTCCCAGCTCTCCGCCTGCCCCCAGCAGCCCGCTCAGCACCCATCTGCCGTCTGCCACCACTTCCACAGTCTCCTCCGCGTCAGCCTCAACCACCAGCCCAAAGCCTACGCCTACGACCCTAAGGCCCAAGCCCTCTTCCCCCAGGACCACTGCTCCAACAGAGTTGCCTGCATCGGAGTCCTCCGCGCCCTCCACAGCCAAAACCAGCACGCTGCCGTCGCCTGCATCTTCTCCCTCCTCAACTGTGTCCTCAACATGGCTGAGCTCCTCACAGCCTGGTAAGGCTCCCTCCTACCCTTCCCGCTGCTTCTGCCTGCTCTTCCCAGCTCTTGCTCTTCCCTCCTTCCATCCACCCTTCCATCATTCCTTCCAAGCACCGTACGTCGCTTGCACAGTTGTTTTGGCACTTGGCCCTCCCTTCCCGCTGCCTTTCGCCAGCCTGGGACCTGGTGCACTCCTGGGCCTGTGTACTGGCCCTGGTTGGGATGGAGCGAAGTTTTGTTCCGAGCACCTTGTCTGGTGCTGTGTTTTAGAAGTGTGTCCAAAGCAGTCTGGATAGCACACAGGTGCTGTAGCTATTGCTGCGGAGTGCTAGCACAGCACGCAGGCCTTCTTCTGTTTCTCCTTCTGCCTGCCAGGGAGTGGGCAAGGGGTGGGCAAGAGGTTGGCTGGGGACACAGCCAGGATAGCTGACCCAACGTGAGTGACCGAGGAGATACTCCATATCACAGAACGTCATGCTGAGCAGTAAAATGGGGTGGGGGGCAGTTTTTCCCAAGTAGCCGTTGCTCAGAGATTGGCTGGGCATTGGCGACCAGTGGGAGGTGGTGAGGGATTGCCTTTGCATCTCATGGGTGGTCTTTGGTTTGTTCTTCCTTTAGATTCTTCACTTCCAAAAACTCTCTCTATCCAGACGCGTGTGCGATTGTTGCTTTTGCCCTTCCGATTCTCTCCCCGTTCCCGCTGAGGGGGAGTGCGCGCGTGGCTGGGCGGGCACTTAGCATCCAGCCAGGGTCAACCCAGCGGCGACTGGCGCGCACATTGGCCCCAACTGGGTCTAAGCAGCACGGGGAGGCTTAGGGAAGGAGCCAGAAGCCCGGTCCTCCCTCTTGACCAGCGAGACTCAGTGCTACACGGGGCTGCCTTTCTGGCCCGAGGCCCAAGCCCAGGGCGTCCTCACACCTCCTTTACCTTCCCTTCTTGGCCTGCCCCCTCAGTCAACCTGTGCTTTCCTCCCAACAGCCTTCACCCAGAAAAGGACAACCGTGCCACACATTGTGCCGCCTCTCACCACGCAGAAGACCACCGCCACCACCTCCGCCAGCAGCACCTCCAAGACCTCTGTCTCCAGAGAGGCCAGCCCCGCTAGCAGCACAGAAGTCCCTCTGATAAAGACGTCTCCAAGTCCCAGCTCTCCGCCTGCCCCCAGCAGCCCGCTCAGCACCCATCTGCCGTCTGCCACCACTTCCACAGTCTCCTCCGCGTCAGCCTCAACCACCAGCCCAAAGCCTACGCCTACGACCCTAAGGCCCAAGCCCTCTTCCCCCAGGACCACTGCTCCAACAGAGTTGCCTGCATCGGAGTCCTCCGCGCCCTCCACAGCCAAAACCAGCACGCTGCCGTCCCCTGCATCTTCTCCCTCCTCAACTGTGTCCTCAACATGGCTGAGCTCCTCACAGCCTGGTAAGGCTCCCTCCTACCCTTCCCGCTGCTTCTGCCTGCTCTTCCCAGCTCTTGCTCTTCCCTCCTTCCATCCACCCTTCCATCATTCCTTCCAAGCACCGTACGTCGCTTGCACAGTTGTTTTGGCACTTGGCCCTCCCTTCCCGCTGCCTTTCGCCAGCCTGGGACCTGGTGCACTCCTGGGCCTGTGTACTGGCCCTGGTTGGGATGGAGCGAAGTTTTGTTCCGAGCACCTTGTCTGGTGCTGTGTTTTAGAAGTGTGTCCAAAGCAGTCTGGATAGCACACAGGTGCTGTAGCTATTGCTGCGGAGTGCTAGCACAGCACGCAGGCCTTCTTCTGTTTCTCCTTCTGCCTGCCAGGGAGTGGGCAAGGGGTGGGCAAGAGGTTGGCTGGGGACACAGCCAGGATAGCTGACCCAACGTGAGTGACCGAGGAGATACTCCATATCACAGAACGTCATGCTGAGCAGTAAAATGGGGTGGGGGGCAGTTTTTCCCAAGTAGCCGTTGCTCAGAGATTGGCTGGGCATTGGCGACCAGTGGGAGGTGGTGAGGGATTGCCTTTGCATCTCATGGGTGGTCTTTGGTTTGTTCTTCCTTTAGATTCTTCACTTCCAAAAACTCTCTCTATCCAGACGCGTGTGCGATTGTTGCTTTTGCCCTTCCGATTCTCTCCCCGTTCCCGCTGAGGGGGAGTGCGCGCGTGGCTGGGCGGGCACTTAGCATCCAGCCAGGGTCAACCCAGCGGCGACTGGCGCGCACATTGGCCCCAACTGGGTCTAAGCAGCACGGGGAGGCTCAGGGAAGGAGCCAGAAGCCCGGTCCTCCCTCTTGACCAGCGAGACTCAGTGCTACACGGGGCTGCCTTTCTGGCCCGAGGCCCAAGCCCAGGGCGTCCTCACACCTCCTTTACCTTCCCTTCTTGGCCTGCCCCCTCAGTCAACCTGTGCTTTCCTCCCAACAGCCTTCACCCAGAAAAGGACAACCGTGCCACACATTGTGCCGCCTCTCACCACGCAGAAGACCACCGCCACCACCTCCGCCAGCAGCACCTCCAAGACCTCTGTCTCCAGAGAGGCCAGCCCCGCTAGCAGCACAGAAGTCCCTCTGATAAAGACGTCTCCAAGTCCCCGCTCTCCGCCTGCCCCCAACAACCAGCTCGGTACCCGGCTGCCATCTGCCACCACTTCCACAGTCTCCTCCGCGTCAGCCTCAACCACCAGCTCAAAGGCTACACCTATGCCCCTCACTACTTCCACATCACTTCCACAGTCTCCTCCGCGTCAGCCTCAACCACCAGCTCAAAGGCTACACCTATGCCCCTCACTACTTCCACATCACTTCCACAGTCTCCTCCGCGTCAGCCTCAACCACCAGCTCAAAGGCTACACCTATGCCCCTCACTACTTCCACATCACTTCCACAGTCTCCTCCGCGTCAGCCTCAACCACCAGCTCAAAGGCTACACCTATGCCCCTCACTACTTCCACATTCAGGTCTGCTGAGAGTACTACATACTTTTCCTCCCAAAACACCACATTTACTCCACATGGCAAAACATATTCTGTAGTAGTTCCTACCCATATCTCTGCCAAGTCCTCTCCAGTTTTCATTCCAACTGTTTTATCTACATCAATTACTTTTGCTCCCAATTTTATTACTACTGCTTCTACAGAGTCAGTTGAAAGGACTTCTTTGGAAACAACAACATTAACCACTACCCGCACTACGTCATCTCCTTCTTTCACCTCTAGACTTTTGACATCCTTGTCTTCTGTTGCACCGTTAACAGTGTCACACGGTAAAGTATATCTATATCATTTCCTGTATCATGTGGGGATTTTTTAGCACATCTTTTCTTTCATGAGTGTATGAATTCTTACATTACATATTCTTTGGCTATGATACCATTTCTATGCATTGGCTCCATCCTTTCTTTTTGTCCTTTCTACAGTTATTTTTTGTAGAGTGTTTGTCTGAAGTCCAATTTTATATAGCAGGGAACCTGTTGTTATGCTGATGTAAACATTAATTAGTGTGAGTTAAGGAGGCTGATAGGATGCATATTGGAAGAGCCACAGAATTGTTTGGTTTTTT